TAGTAGTAGTAGTAGTAGTAGTAGTAGTAGTAGTAGTAGTAGTAGTAGCAGCAGTAGTAGTAGTAGTAGTAGTAGTATATATAAAAAGAGAGAATCTGATTTTGACCTCGTAGGCTTACCTAAATAAAACAAATATTTTGAGTACGAACAGCCAAAGTTTTCTTCTCAGTGGAATTGCTCCCTCGTGATCAGCCATTATTCCTTCCTTGGCCAAAATCGTCTGGAAAAACGTAATACATATCAATTACATTGCACTGCAAGATGGCATGATTTTACAGATGGAATAATTACAAAGCGAAAACGTAAAATGTAAGTGAGCAAAAGGCAGTAGTATATATAGTAGTAGTAGTAGTAGTAGTAGTAGTAGTAATAGTAGTAGTAGTAGTAGTAGTAGTAGTAGTAGTAGTAGTAGTAGTAGTAGTAGTAGTAGTTGTTGTTGTTGTTGTTGTTGTTTTGTTGTTGTTGTTATTGTTGTAGCACTAGTAGTAATAATAATAATGATAATAATAATTATTATAATTTTATTATTATTACTATCATTATTATTATTATTATTATTATCATTATTATTATCATCATTATCATTATTATTATCATTATTATTATTGTCATTATCATTATCATTATCATTTTATTTTTTAATTATCATTATTATTATTACTATCATTATTATTATTACCATTATTATTATAATAACAACAACAACAACAACAATAATAAAATAACATGCATTATACACACGCCAATGAATTGAATCCACTACTGATAACAAAAGCGTTCATTATATTAATTAATTCATTCTGCCACTGGAGAAAATAAATTTATAAAATTATTAAAAAATATAGAGTAAGAATCTATTTTTCGTGCTTGATGCCATTTTTTTTCGAAATACAACCAATATTGTTAATAATACAAACACTAATTCCCAAAATATCTTTAGAAATGTCAGTCTGTTTAACGCTATTCATTCTTAAAGAAATTAAAAAAAACAAACTCAAATCAGCATTTCAAGTATGACGTTATGATCAGGTTACAATCTAGAAAACTATAATATTTTCAAGGGATACTAAGAGAAATCAGCCATAAATATCTCATAACGGAAAAAGATATATATATATAAATCTCACCTCCTTGTGAATATTCCTCATGAGACGTTCTAACTGGCCCGGGGGAGGAAGCTGGACGTCGTTCCAGTGGGCCGCTTTCTCGAGGATCTTCTGCGCTTTGTCGAACTGGCCCCTGATCACGAGCCAGCGGGGAGACTCGTCCAAAAACCTGGAAGGATCGGATCGTTATAATAAGGGGAAAGGAATGCAGGAATATATATATATATATATATATATATATATATATATATATATATATATATATATATATATATATATATATATATGTATATATATATATATATATATATATTTATATATATATATATATATATATGTATATATATATATATATATATATATATATATATATATATATATATATATATATATATAGATATATATATAAGGGGAAAGGAATGCAGGAATATATATATATACATATATATATATATATATATATATATATATATATATATATATATATATATATATATATATAAATATATATATAAAAATATATGTATATATATATATATATATATATATATATATATATATATATATATATATATATACATATATATATATATATATATATATATATATATATATATATATATACATATATATATATATATATATATATATATATATATATATATATATATATATATATATACATATATATATATATACATATATACATATATATATATATATATATATATATATATATATATATATATATATATATATATATATATATATATATATATATATATATATATATATATATATATATATATATATATATATATATATATATATATATATATATATATATATATATATATGTATATATATATATATATATATATATATATATATATATATATATATATATATATATATATATATATATATATGTATATATATATATATATATATATATATATATATATATATATATATATGTATATACATATATGTATATATATATATATATATATATATATATATATATATATATATATATATATGTATATATATATATATATATATATATATATATATATATATATATATATATATATGTATATACATATATGTATATATATATATATATATATATATATATATATATATATATATATATATATATATATATATATACATATATGTATATACATATATATATATATATATATATATATATATATATATATATATATATATACATATATATATATATATATATATATATATATATATATATATATATATATATATATATATATATATATGTATATATTCCCTTCTAGTAATTGCTGGTCCTGAATTTGAGTTATGTTTAAATAGAGATATATCAAGAGCTATGAATCTGTTTTCCTTATGCTCAAACACTAGACTGCTGCTTGGAGAGAGGCACAACTATGACACTGTGATAGATGGTGTCCCTCATACAAAACGAACTGAATTAGAATGATTAAAGATCTTTTCTGATTAGACTGAACGCCACCACCAAAACATCTGGATCAAGATGCTATTTCAGAATTGGTTCCCTACCTGTCTAATTCATCGCGAGGACACTGAAAAGGTTTGCTTTGAGTCCTGCGTCATTCAACACTTTTTACAGTGTACTATACATAATGTAAAGTATGTAACTAATGTCTTGAAAATTATGACATAATCACTACACTATATATCACGTAAACTGATGCTACAGCTACATCCTTCAGAATTACAGAGACGTCAACTACACATCTTGTGAAATTACTGATTTTCATCCGTGCCTCGTTTTCGTTACAAAGGCTAACTGAAGCACTAAAGGGCCATTACCACAAAACCGGCAGGAGAATAAGGCCAGGGAGGGAGACAGCTAACTGCAACCACTTCCAGTCTCGCAGAAGGTGTGCCCAGATACCCCAGGCGATAGTGCCCAGTGCCCAGGGTAAGGCAAGGAGAACACCCACGATGGACCTGTACCGAGACTCACACACCTCCATGGCTGTGAATGGAAAAGTTGTGTGAAAAAAAGAATCCTTGATTATGTTAAAATTATGAGTTAAAGAAGCGGCATTAGTTTAGCCAAGCATGTTCTACAGCATACGTCAACACAATACACATAAAAGAAAGAGAAAACCAAAAGAAAGGAAGAAAATGATAAGAGAGATACAGTTTTCAAACCAAACACCACTCAGGCACAACTTCCCATAAAGTACAGCCCTTAAGAATGTAGCATTAATGTTTGGCTGATGGCCTCACAAATCAACAGAAATTAATAAATACAAACAAATGGATAGATACCTAAATAAATTTCTCATTTTAATAAGTCATGTACACTATCCCATCAGTGATTTTTTTTTTGTATATCATGTATATTTTCCAATCAATAAAAATGGGAAGCATGTAAGCAAACACTTAACTTTTTAGGTGTTCATAAAAAATGCAGAAATGATACACTCTCTTCAGGAAATGTTTTATTGAGGGAAATTATTCAGAAGACCTTCGCACGGCCGACTACATGGGAAATACGAGGTGAAAGGAGTCAGCAGTCAGCACTATCTTCGCGATCATCCGTACAGAGGGCGTTCTGAATATTTCCCTCGATACATAAAAAAAAACTAAAACACACTCCCCTTTCCTCTCACCTAAGACGTAGGCAACCTGGAGACCGGCTGGATGAAGGAATCCCAGGAAAAAGCGCGAGGCGAGGATGGCTGTGAAGCTAGGTAACCAACAAGATGCTATAGACAGGACGAGGTAGGAGACTATCCCCACAGAAAACACTGTCTTGCGCCCGAATCTGAGCCCAGGGAAAAGGAGGGAATGTATGAGGATA